TCGCCTCCCTGGCTGGAGTCGATTGTCGTGAGTTTGAGAGCCCCAGTGCTCATGTGCTCGCCCGCCACCTGACGTAGTCCAGGGAAGTTAGAGCTGATGGCAGTATTAGCATTGTCGTCTTCCCGGAACACCTGTTGCCAGCGGTGAGTGTCCACCCTGTGGCCTTGGGGGGATTGGCCAGGGCCAGGAATATCCTGACCACCGCGTCCAGGGCCGTCTTTCCCCTTGCCGGGCTGCCCTTTGGCGCCACCTCTGGTGTTACGCAGAGCGCCAGTGAGGTGACGAGGGCCCTGCGGCCATCTGTCCATAAGAATGGCCGTCTGGAGCTGGTAGCCGACCACGATTCTGACAGCGGTGCCCTGGTGGAGCTCCGGTAGCAAGGCGCGCGCAATATCCACGGCTTGGGCCGCCTCCGGAAGATTGGCAAAGCCTGGTTGTAGCTCGGAGGTGACCTCCCAGGAGGGTGTGTGCACCATTAGGAAACGGTGCTTGTCTGGGCCCAGCGGCGGGTCCAGGGGCTCAAGGGTGGCGCGGAGGTCACTTTCGTCGGAACCGGTGAGTGTAGCCAGCTTTGCCAGTCGTCCAGGTTCCCGCGCACGAATGTCTGTCCAGGGGATGCCCTCAACTATTGGCCGCTCTCTGAGCGGATCCAGGATGCCAGACTTCATGCCTTTCCCGCAGTAGGCTGCGTTCGGGAAAGCGGGTAGCTGCGGATGCATCCGATAGCGGATTGAAAGGTGAACTACTGAAGACTCCTGGCCGCGGAGTGCGTGGAACATCCTGTCGAAGATGCTGACGCAGAGCCCTAGTTCGTTCGCCAGTTTGGAGAGCACTGTGGGGGGCAGCTGGTTGGGGTCTCCGACGAGGACCACGGTCCCTCCGCTGTTAATCAGATTTACAATGGACATGAGCGCGTGGAGCTCAGTGGCTTGTCCGGCCTCGTCGATGACTAGGAGAGCGATTTGGGGGCTGTCCTTTTGACCAAGTGCCTCTGACGCCTCGTGCGTGGACATGATTATCCTGGCCTGACGTAGTAAGCTCGCCTTGTAAGGCTTGAAGCCCTGGTTCTTGTCCCCGTCCTGGAAGGGGAACTCGCCGTGGGCGTTTCTGTAGTGACCTTCGGGAGCAAGGTCAACAAGTGCCTCGTTGACCCGGTCCTTCCTTGCCAGGCGCGCGAACTTGTCGGGGAAGCCCGTGTCTTGGTCGAGGCGCCGCTGACGTTGTGCCTCGATCATTGCCAGAGCTGGTTGGTCGACCGCCGTGTTGGACCCTGCTGCCAAAGCGACAGCGTGTCCAGGGCGTAGGCAGAAACCCCGCATGTCGAGGCAGGCAACTGAGAAGGTGGTCTTGCCAGTTCCAGGGGGTCCGTGCACTAGAACAGCATGGTGGTTCAGGGTGGCGCGCAGGGCACTGGTCGCATCGCCGTTCGGCCTGTGCTTGTCGATAATCCTGTGGAGCGTGTCCACGCTGGGAGTAGGGCGCACTCTCTGAAAGACGGAGCCTGTCGTATCTGAGATTTCGTCGTCAGAGAACGCCTTTAAGCCTTGGGGGAGAGGCGGTGCCTGCAGCAGCGTGCAGGTAGTAGATCTGGTCCAGTGCCGAGCATTGCCGCCAAAACTGGATGTCATAAGGGGCTTCGTCTACACGATGCCAGGGGAGATCGTCGCTAGGGGGGGCGTCTCGCCTTGGTTTCGTCTTCGTGAAACTGCCCGCTCTTCCCGTGGTTGTAGACGACGATGCACCAGTTAGAGGGGTACCTGTCGGAAGGGCTGAGACCTAGCGCTTGAGCATCCCTGGGATGGATGTGACCGCCCAGGGCGGGAGGCCACCAGACTGAGACGTCGGCGATCTTGTCTACCGTCGGGCCCGTGACTGAAATGTAAAGCCACCTGCTCTCAATGTCACGTTCCAGGGGTCTGGTCGCGACCTTGCACATTGAGGGCCACTCCAACAACAGAAATTCCTTACCGACGGGTAGGTGCATGGCGTTCCGCAGCCGAAGGGTGTCCAGGTCCTCCAAGCGCGTATTGGCATCGATCCTGGTGGCGCGAACTCCGAGGGCACAGTTACCCCTTCTGGCTAAATCCTCTCGAGTGGAGCCTCTGCCGTCGTCTACCGTCTCGACCGAGGCTTGGCTTTCGACCCAGGCGATCCTCCTTAACGTTTGCCCCCGGTCCTGGAGGGAGTAGGGCAATTGTGAGGGGAGTCGGACGGCATTGATTAGTTCCCCGAGCGCTGCCTTGGGGTGGACTCTAGAGTGCGGGGAGTCCAGCGGAACCGGGTACAGGTTGGCGACATCTGAGGCTGCCTGCGTGGCCAGTGAATCTTCCAGGGCAGCTGGACTTGTCGGAGAGAGAGCTTCAATCTCCGTCTCACTGCCCTCGGCCAGCTGGACTGTTCGCTGCTGGCAGGGTGGGCCCCCGGCAGGAGGAGGGTGAGACGGCGGGGGCGGAGGGGGAGGTACCCCAGAGGAGCCTGCGTGCGGCCTGTCCAGGTGAGG